AAGGTCCCAAAGAAATAGGGTCCCGGTTTGTCAGGCCTGGAACCCTCTGTTGGGAATTGGTCACTATAATCCTTTAGCCTCAGTCTAGCCCAGAAAGGGGGTGGATTACACTTATGTCCTACCGGAAGGGGCAGGGTGGCACATTGGCAGAGAGTCAAGTGGTCAGAACCCAGCTCTCCTGACTACTCATGCTGGCTCAACAGGGCTACATCTAATGGAGAGAAAATAGGGCCTGTTACAGGCAGTGACCATGAACAGTAGCCAAGGTGCCATCCCCAGAGCTTTCTGTGGGCCTCCCTAGTGTATGGAGCACAGGAGAAAGGGGACCTCCATGTGTCACAGGGGCCTGAGTTCAAGTTCTGGCTCAGCCACTTTCTGCCATGTGACCCTGGTACGTGGTCCTCTCCTCATACTCAACTGGGAAACAGAGAGTCAGGGAGCATGGGGGCGGGGAGCTGTGAAGTATTGTGCGCAAAGTCAGGCTTGGCTAACAGATGCTAAAACACTGGGCCTGCTCTCTGGTAAGCTACTATCAGAACCCAGGTCCTGGGCATGGGGTGTTCCAGGGCCATTAGATGAGCTACATGGGAATTTTCCTGAAGGACAGAGGCTCTGGAGGTGCTGGTATACTGTAATGCCCATAGTCTACCCAGAGGTCCTTGCTCTGGAAATTGCTAAGAGATACTTGGGTTGCGATAACAGAAATTGAAGAAAACCCACGGCTCCCTTTCCCTTCCCTGTAGAGATTGAGCGGGCTATCTCCCCCTTCCCTTGAATAATTGCCCTCACGTTGGCCAGTTAGGAACTGCACAGCCCAGGGACAGAGTCCTTTGGCTTCTTTTATTTTATAATAGACTTATGACTCATTATTATTTTTTTAAAAAAGAATTCCAGGAAGAAAAAACAAATCATTCTGGTCTCTCTTGCTCTCTCTCCATTCTAATAATGCTTGCATTCATTTAAATCATATTAAGAATCTCTGAGTCAAGATTTTGATCAATATTTCTTGTGCACCTACTATGGGCAAAGTTCCTAGACTCTAGGGCCTAGAGAAAGTCAGGTTATCTTGGAAATATGATATTGTTAGGGAGTGGTGTACACACAATGAGAAAGCAGGAGCGTCCAGAAAGGCAGGTGGCTTCCCTTAGACCAAAAGCTCTGTTCTTTCCATCTGTAGAAACAAGAGTGCATGCTGAGAGGCCTGGAACATTCTGCCACCTTGAAGGCCAGGCGAGGACCATGCAGTTCTGAACTTAGAAAAGACAGCTAGAGACAGTAGAGAAGCTCATCATTCAAGAGAGTAAAGGGGCAGAGTAGCCAGCAGAGGTGCCGTGCACAAGCAGATGGGGGTACTATTGACCCTCCAGGAGCCGGAAAGTTCAGCAGGGGGAAGGCACCAATTTGGACAGAGGGCAATGTTTTTGTTGTTCCTTATAGTGAGGTAAGGGGGTAAGAAAAGAAGGATCAAAGTGGGGGTGGTTTCTGCACCAGCTCCTGGCTCCTCCTCTGCAGGGATGGAGGTCCTCTGGGTGTGGGGAGATCAGAGTGGGGGCAACAGGGAGGCAGGAGCTGGAGTCTTTGGAGATGATGCTTCCTCTGGGGTTACAGCGGAGGCTGATTCTCCAAGAGGTAAGCCGCTGTGGTCCAGAGATGCTGTACTTGGAGCAAGCCGTTCTTATGACCTCTTGGAGATTTGACTAAGTTTTTTATTTTTTCTGAAAGAATCAATTCAACTCCCCACACCAGTATGCTCCTAAGACAGCTTTCTGAACACTTTCAAGTTTCCACCCAGCACTCTGTATATGCCAGTATCACACACAGCCTGCCCTCTCTCCCACCACAGGCTTGAATCCCAAGAAGGACACCCACCTGCCAGAGAGTTCAAGTTCACATGGAGAGAGTTTTCAGTTATCTGCCAAGGGGAAAATAAGGCCTGAGGTGTTTCCTTGATCTCCTTCCTTCCCCAGAGCAGGGCCCTAACAGGTGGTCATGTCCCTTCTCATCCCTCCGCAGACTCATTAATTTCAAAAGCAGCCACAGAGACAAGGAACTACTTCCCAATTCTTCTGTTCATGACGAGCTAAGAGAAAATAACCATCTCAGGAGACTACACACAAAAATCCTAATGAAAAGTAGAGAGCAAAAGAGACAGGAGGTGGCCAGGCCCGCTTTTCAGCTGCAGTTATCGGTAGCCTCTCAGGGAGGCATTGGAAGCCTGTTCACTAGATCTCTGGTGTGGGCACAGAGCACAGTTCAAGACAGGGTGGGGGCATCTTTCTAAAGAGTCTACTTTCTCACCCCAGGCCCGATATGAAGAAGCAGAAGTGCCGATGACCCAATCCTCATTGAAGCTGACTGTTCTGAACGCTCAGAGATGCAAACTTGCCAATACCATACCAGCTGTGCGTGCCAACTCACGGGAACCTGTGAACCTCACTCAGCTTGTGAAAATACATGCAGTTTGAAAATCAGCACCTTCAAAATTCTCCAGACACTTCCCGAGTGGCCAAGGTCTGGCTTTCTGAGGTGGTCCCAGGCCTGCGAAGTCCCAGGCCTGCGAAGAAGTCCCAGTACAAAAACTCCAGAAATGGAAAGCCAGGCCAGACAGGGCCCTGAAACTCACTAGCTCTTCCAATGTGTGCCTTGACTCCACGTGGAAAAGGGACGGTTAACCCAGCCCTCCCATCCCTGCCTGGAGGCAAGTGCCTGGACTGGGCACCCGGGGAGGTTGCTGGGGACAGTGCCAAACCCACAGCTCCTGTGTGCATCACACAACTCTAGGGGAGTGTTGCAATTCTAACCCTTTATAGTCAATGGAGGAGGGAGAGCGTGCAGCCCGGAGAGAAAGCAAAAGGGGGTGCGTAGCTGCGGACACTGAACAGATGGGCTCCTAATGAAAATACTTAAGCCTTTTGATGCACAAGCGACCCAAAGCCGCCGCAAGTCTGCAGGTCTACTGCGAATTATGAGATGTTTAAAAGATCACGGTATTAAGGATCCGTCAATAAACCCCTGATTAAAAAAGTATATTTATACCAAGTGACCAATATCTGATTACATTTGCCCTAAAAGAAAGACACAGATTTTTCTCTAATTTTTTCTTGGCTGCAGATCTCTTATCCCTCTAACCAAAATTCAAGGAATGCAAATAGCTGCAAGGGATCATGTCCCCAAAGCAGCCCTCATTCACTTCGCTTTCTTTCTCTTTCAGCATCAAAGCTTGCCATAAATGTTTAATTACATGGAAGCTGCCTTTCCACTGCAAATGACTGGCGCTATGAAAGGCTTTTCATTTTTTAAGAGAGGCGGAATGCGTGTGTGTAAAACGGTCCCTATTAATTTCCTGATATTGACTCTCTGGCTGGGGACGAGCATGGAGTGCTCGGCAGAGAGCGTCTCTGCAGAATGTTAAAGGCAGGGCTTGGACTGAGAAAGGGTACCAAATGCAGTATGCGTCAAACAGACCATCGCTCAATGAAGTCACTTAGCTATTCAAAACATGTTCAGCCATCACTCAACCAAGAACACTGGGAGGGGGCATGTGATGTGAGCTCTTTCCCAGACTAGTGTTTGGCTCAGTATGGGTTAGATCCCCAGGATGGGGCCGTTAGTTTTTACCCTCTCCCCCATCTGCTGGCCCCAACTCCCTGCAGCACCATCCCACGTTGAGCTTAACAAACAACCCCGCAGTGCTCGGTTCCTGGTGCTGCCTCCAAGGGCCTCCAGTCTTGGTTCACATCAGTGGAACACACACACACACACACACACACACACACACACACACACACACACACACACAAGCCTCTTTCCACACAGGGGCATATGTGTCTCTCTGCCTGTCTTCCTATAGGTGGCTTGTTCACACAGACAGATATAGCTATGCAAATGCACTCCTTCATATTAAAGTCTGTGGCTAAATTCAGCTTGTATGACCTGCAGAGTTTTCCTCCCTCCTCTCGTGTTTATTAATGTGTCCCAGAAGCACATGCCTACCTCATGCCCTAGTCTCCCGGCCTGTACACCATGGGAGCCCCTTGGCCCATGGCACACGCAGCACACATGCCCCAATGACTCTGCAAGAGCAAGGCCAACAGCTGGCACCCCCCACCCCATGCTTTCCCATTCCCCCTCAACCTCTCCGTGCCCTCACCTCCTGCCTGTACAGTGCTGACTCGACTTGCTTCTGGATGACAGACATGTCACTCTGTGTGGAAGCAAATCGGCGCTCAGCCTAACCAGCAAGTGACCGCTGTTTATTGGAACTTGGGCTTGTTTCCTGTGAGAGACTCATGCATTTATAGACTTCGTAAATGTGAACACACACACACACACACACACACACACACACACACACACACACAGAGCCACCTTGAATGATACGTGGGGCTCACAGACATTACGAAATGCTCTTGAACTCGGCTTGAGCTCCTGAAATAATTAGAACCTACCAAATAAGGATTCTTAGAAACAACCGATTTTTTTTTTAAAGAAGATTTGCAGTTGGTGATGGGTCTGTAACTTTTGAGGAGTGAGGGGAAGAGGAAGAACCTTTTCTGAATCCTTCATTGCAAAAAAGCCGAGCAGCACGCAGGGAAGAAATTATTTTCCCTCCTCCTAGGTGGCAAAGCTAGACCCAAAGGCAAACCTTAATGACTCCAAAGCAGCCAGAGCATATCTGACTCTACAGACAATCTCTTGTTTTCGCCGTAGCATAGATCATTCCAATGAGGAGGTTTGGGAGGACGGGGTGGAAGCCAAAGAGTAGAGTGTGGGTTTTTGCTTATTGATTTTCTTTCCTCTGAAACTAACCCAGCCAACCTTGATCTGCAGCGGCGGCAGCAGCGGCGGCGGCGGCGGCGGCGGCGGCGGCGGCGGCGGCGGCGGGAGTGAAGTGGGAAAATGGTGGAATGTGGAGGGGACTTATTTGGAGTCGGGTGGGGAGGGGGAGTGTGGAGGGGAGGGGCGGCGTGGGAAGGGGGAGGAGGTAAGAAATCAAATACCTTCGAGGCAGCAGGTTCTCCATAATCCGGAATGGGTCATAACTTCCTCGTTCTTTTTGCTGGTTTCGTTCTCACTGACACTTTTGGTCTTGCAAACCCCTCTGGAGTACAGCCAATAGTCGGTTCCCACAGCGATGGTCATCAAGCTGAAGGCAGCGAAAGCACCAACGGTGGTTAAAAGCATTTGAACACCTCGATCAAAGAGCCCCATAATTCTTCATTATATAAACACCCAACCGACTTCTGGTTCTCAGGAGCGTGTGTGTGAGGGTGCGAATGATAACTCCACTACTAATATAATGGATCTATGTGTGAATTGAGGAGATGGAGAGATATAAAAAAAGGGAGATAAGAAAGCTCACGGAAAAGTGTGTAAATTATAAAGATCACACGGGAAGAGAGGCTTGCCTTTTGAGATCAAAAAACTGTTCCAGTTGCAGCGATTTCTTTTTTTTTTAAAAAAAGGGGAAAATAAATAAAAAGACACCCCCCACCCCCCCCAAGTGAGATGCCTTAATCTCTTTTCCTAAAATTCTGGTCTCCAGTTTCCATATGTGATCGCTAATTTGGAGATGGCTTCCACAGCGCGCCAGAGAATAGTCGAATTCTCAACACCATCTCTCATGGTCCGGACCTAGACAGTTAGAGACTGGGAGAACCTGGAAGCAACCTGCGGTCTTCGTTCGCGGCTCTGCGGCCTGCGCCATGAAAATCCCTGGCTTCGCCAGTTCTCTTCCTTGGGGAGGGAGGGGGTTCTCGGGGTGCCTCCGTTTCAGAGGAGACTACCCAGTCTTCTGCAAGCCCTCGAGCTCAGCTGCACCGGTGCGGGGGTCTCGCCTCCCATGGTTGTGCCCCGGCGGCAGCGGCGGCGGCGGCGGCGGCGGCGGCGGTAGCAGGGCTGGCGGGCGCGGCGGCGGCAGGACGAGCAGCCGCGGTTATTGTTGTTGGCGGCGGGGGTAGTGTCGGCGAAGTGGGGGAGGGAGGGGGTTTCTCCCGGAGAATCGAGGCGGGGTTCCCTCCCCCGATCCGCAAAGCTCCTTGGAAGCCAGCGAGTGAGCGAGCGAGCGATGGGGCGCGCGAGCCGGCGTCTTGCAGCAGGCAGGCCCGCCCGCCTCCCCCGCTCGCGGCCGCGCAGCCCCGGGCCAGGCGCTCCCAGCTACAGCATCGCGGTGCTGCTGCTGAAACGGACGGCTCTCTCCCCGGCCGGGCGCTCCCACCTACTGCATCGCCGTGGTGCTGAACTGGACAGCTCCCCGCGACCGGGCGCTCTCCCCTACAGCATCGCCGCGGTGCTGGACTGGACAGCTCTCGGAGGAGCGCCCACCTACTGCGTCGCCGTGGTGCTGAACTGGACAGCTCCCCACTCTCTGTACTCCCTGAGCTCGGTAGCCCGCCAAGAGTCGGGCCTGGGCCACGGGGGGCCTCTGTCCTCCAGCGACAGGCCAGGCCAGGGCCGAGCGCAGGGCTGCCTGGCCTCCCCCGACTCCTGTTCCACAGTTCCGGAATGAGTGCTGGCCGGGGCCTCCTGGAGCTGGGAGGAAGGCGTAGCTGGCGATCTCTCTCTCTCTCTCTCTCTCTCTCTCTCTCTCTCTCTCTCTCTCTCTCCCTCTCTTCTCTCCCTCTCTCTCCCTTTCTCTCCTCTTCCCTCCCCCCTCGGTGTTTCTTCCAGATCAGCCTCTTTCTCATTCCATCTCTACGTGCCCAGAGCTTCAAATACAGCCCTCCCAGTCAGACTACCACAAAACTTCAATCAGCTGCTTTTCCGCCTGGAAGAGATGGACATAGAACCTGGATGGGTAATTACAAACATAATCTATACGTGTGTTTCTCCCCCAATTGTGGGTTCCAAGATGCTTTTTGGGGAGAGGGGTTGTTTTATTCTGTTGGCTGGATAGACGCCTCTCTTTCCTCAACCCCTTCTTGAGCTTTGTGTCTTTCTGGCTAACAGGGGTGGACATAGCTCTATGTGTGACTCTCTAGTTTTCTGTGAAATTCTACATCTTGCTTCCACAAGTAGACATTTTGGAAAGATTATTCATGTGAAAGCATGAGGGGAGAGTGGTTGGTGACTGGGGCTAGGGCCATGATACTCTTCTACTCATCTCAAGGATAAAAATGTTTTCAGGAGAAGTGGGTGAGTGTGGATCTTTCCAAGTTCCCCCTTGTCATTCATAAATGAGATTGAAGAGATCTTTTTTTAAAGCGTCTCTGCTATGAACATGGAAAGACAGGAGCCTCCTCTTGCTCAGCAGAGCTGTGAGCCTGGGTTGATTCCTGTGTCACCTCCTCAGACTGCGTATGCAACTTTTCCTTAACGTGAGCCTGGAAACTGAAGCATTTCGGCAATGCTCACAGCTATGGGTGACATGTTTTCTCTGACCAGTTTTGTGACTAAGTAAAAGGAGACCATCCGAGGCAGGCTCCAGGCTATGTCTTGCCTTTGGGGGAGGGGCTAGAGAAAGCTGTTAGTCGAAGGGGTCAGTTGAAGGGTGTCGAGAGATGCTTTGATTTCATAATTTGCTAATTGAACCCCCCCATTTTGCCTTGAGATGATTTGCTCAATAATTTATCAGTGATCCAGAAATTAGGGGTGTACACAGAAGAGGGCTGAGGTAGAAATAGTTTCTTGGGGGTGTGAAACCCACTGCCTAACCTCATCCTTTCACTTTCGAAGTCACAGGTAGAAACTGTCTTTTTCACTACCCTGCCTACAACTTCCTTTTTCTCCCAGTCTCTGCTCCCTCTTTGGACCAGAAGGACCCTTCTGAGGATGGATAGCTGTATTTCTGGGTGAGGGAGAGGGTCCTGGCATCTGGAGATTGCAACTCAGAGTTCTGTGAGCTGTGCTAAGGAATATTAGTGGAAGCTGGAGCTGGCTTGCAGGGGAGGGGTCTCAGGCCTTCCTTGGTTTCCTGTCCTAGGAGGGCAGGAGTAGCAGTGGGAAAGAGAGAGGGGATGGTCTGTTCATCCCGGGGCAGTTCAATAGTGGCTTGGGTGGATGTTTTTCCTGGGCTCCTATCCTTATGCTTTTTTGGTAGTGAGTCTAACCTTTAATGGTTGAGCCATCCTCCAGCCCCACTGGACTGCTATCCTTAAGGAAGCTGTGAGACACAGGTGTCAGTGAGGGGGTCTCTTGAGGAGGGCAGTTGTGGAGAAATGCATGGGTGTCCTTCTGGGTGTCTGAGAGGTTTCCCATCATCGGTACCTGTCACCTTGACTGCCTTTGACCTGCCTATGGATAGTGGTGGCAAAACACTTCTTCTCATCCCTTCCCCTCTTCCCAATCAACTCCTGAGCTTTCTGCTCAGAAGGCACCCACAGCAGAAGCTCTGAAGCCTCTGGTTGTCCACAGGCTCTGCTTACCTCAGGACTGATGAGGGTGGTTGTAACATTCTCAGCATTTGACTCATCTTCTGGTCAGCTCATCACCAGGAAAACAACAGGGGTAAGGGGAGAGGGAAGTGGTTCCCACGGCCAGCATGGAGGCAGCCGAGGCTGCTGCACGAAGAACAGGCCTGGGGAGACAGCTTCACTCGAGACTTGGGCAGTTGCCATATCCTGCCCAAGTTGGCTTCCTGAAGACTCAGTTTCAGTGTCTGGGAAATGGGTCTGTAAGCACCTGTCCACTCCTTTCAGAAGCTTCCCAGATACTTCCTGCTTTTTGCTGCTTGCCGCACTGCTATGACTTTGGTTACCACACTGATCACACTTAATTGGGCTGTGACCCCCCTCATTGCCTCCTAAGTCCTTGAGGTCAAGAGCTGAGTCGTGGTCACAGTTAAGACTTTGGAATCTAAGGAAGTTCTAGATCCATAGTAGACTCTTGGTAAATGTAGCCCAAGCAGCTACAGTGTGAACTTCATATGGCAGAGGTGAGGTGAAGAGCGTGGCACGTGGCAAGGGGGATGCCTCTCATTTCTTTATCCCATTTTACATCCAAAGCGCTCTGTCTTCATCCTCTGCACACTTCTTGTCTCATAGCCCCCCTTTCCAGGAAAGGCCACCTGGGAGAGCTGGCCTTGCTCAGGCCCTATTTGCTGCTTGGGACACACCAGGCACCTGTGCTTAGTGGCCGCTGAATGGATGTCTAGGGAGCAGCTTTGTGTGACTGCAGTTTGTTACTTGGGAAGGGCTTAGAGGAAATTAGCTGAAATGCCACAGGCCTATTTTGAGCTACCTCTTTGATGGAGTGGAAATAACATGGGATTTGGGCGCAGCAGACCTGGCCTTGAAGTGCAGGGCTGCCGTTTCCTCGTTGTTTGACCTTGGACAGTTACTTAACCTCTCTGGAAACTTGTATTTTCATTTATCAAGAACTGGGGGTACGAGCCTTATGCTGTGGTCACCAGAGTTATATGTTAACAGCTATGACACAGGCTGACATTTATTGGGTGCTGACCCACGCTGAATCCCACAACCCTCTTATGAAGAGGTATCACCTTCCATGCATTTACAGATGAGGAAACAGAGCTACCCAAGGATGCAAGTATATGGCATCATTTTTCAGACTTAGGGCATGACAGACCCTGAAGCCCAGTCCAGTTCTGAGCATCCTGAGGAAGAGCCTTGCATCAGGACGATCTGCTTCTCAGCCACAGTTTACAGAGAAACTTCTGGGTGCTAGGTGAGTTCAAATTGATACCACACTCAGATCAAGTAATTCTCAACTATGTGCTAAGAACCTTTCCTTTAGGTGAGCAAAGGCCCAGAGAGGTCACATCCCAAACCCAAGGTCATATGCCAAGTAAGTGGGTCAGCAGAGACGTGAACACTTTGAAGTTATTCAACAGCCACTAACAAGTCCAAAGCTGTTTCATTCAGGTTTTTTTCTTAATCCAAACTCAAGCATCTACTGAGTGTCAGGTACTGTGCCGACTCCTGGTGAGTGGGGCAGTCTCTGTAAAGGTGAAGGTAAGGAGTCAGCCATGGCAGCACACACTTGTGATCCCAGCACTCGGGAGGCAGAGGCAGGAGGATCACTGTGATATTGAAGCCAGCTAGAGTTAGATAGTGAACACACACACACACACACACACACACACACACACACACACACACAGAGAGAGAGAGAGAGAGAGAGAGAGAGAGAGAGAGAGAGAGAGAGAGAGAGAGAGAGAGAGAGAGAGAGAGAGTCATTTTCTGTGGGGACACGGAGCAGAAAACAGAAGAGGTAGTTTGGGAGTGGGTGGGGAACTGAGAAGACAGAGCATCCCAGGCTGGAGAAACGGCCTGTGAAGGTTTAGGTGTGTGAGAAGAGACGACTGGACAGTTACAAGGAAACAGAACAACAACAAAGTCTGGCTGTTGCTGCCACAATGGTGGGAAGTGCCCAGCAGTCTTGGAGAAGAGGCCAGAGCGGAAGAAATAACTTGGAGGGGAGGCATCAACCAAGCCTGGGGCAAGGGACAGCCAGGTTGATGTGGTTGGTCCCCATGCCAGTGATGAGGCAGCCTGGGTCAGCATAGTGGAAGTCCGGATGGGAGGTGTGGTGGTCAAGAGCACTTGGAGAGAGCCAGGTGAGCACAGGGACCCACACTGAGGTGGGCAAGTGTGAGGAAGGAGCAGGTATGCATTTGGGCGTGGGGAGTGGGAAGCTGAGACCTCCACCTCTCTCATGGAGCTGGTTGCCATGTTCTGAGACCTCTCCACTCCATGCTCTCATTCTCTCTCTTCTCTGCATGCTAATTAATTAATTAGGGATGCAAATCATTCATTTGATTCCATTCTGTTCCCAGCAGAATGAAAATCTCACGAAGGCAAGAGATTTTATTCACTGTGTTCATGCTATATTCCCAACCCATAGAACACAGCCCAGCACACAGTAGGTAGATACTAAAAAGGAATTCTTTTTTTTTTTTTTTGGTTTTTCGAGACAGGGTTTCTCTGTGTAGCTTTGCGCCTTTCCTGGAACTCACTTGGTAGTCCAGGCTGGCCTCGAACTCACAGAGATCCGCCTGGCTCTGCCTCCCGAGTGCTGGGATTAAAGGCGTGCGCCACCACGTGTAAAAAATCCACATGTGTGTTGCCTCTGGGCTAGACAATATACTGAGGGGTTTGGGACGCTGCTGAGATAAAAAATAATCAAATCAAAGAGCTTGACAAGTGGCCTGGGAATCCAGGACAGCCCGGTCCACTTGGAACAGTCATGGGCGTCTGACATCCCATGCTGTGTTTTCCTACTCAGTGCACACTCTTGTGACACTTAATTTTGCATTTGGAACTTTTGACTGAGGTCCAAGGTTGTCTGGCACATACTAGGCCTGCAACATGGGTTTGATGAGTGAATGAACAAAAGACACGCGAGCCCAGGGCAGCAAGCATTTAGTTCTGTCCTAAAGGGGCTCAGAAGGCATTTGGTGATCAGAAGACCCATAAAGGCCAGAAGAAAAGGTCATGGTTAAGAGATGGGGGGGGGGACTCCAAGCAAGGCAACATGACCAGCTATCGCAGAGGACAAACCAGTGGAAAGTGAGGTGCCCTTGGCTATAGGTACCCGTCAGCCTGATTGTTCTTGCTCAGGAGGAAGCTGGGAGGTGGGCAGAAGAGGTTGTGGAGCCAGCTGCATTTGGCTTGGAATCCAGCTCTGCTACCTATTGGCTATGTGGCCCCATGCAGGGAATTAACCTTTCTGGGCTCGGCCTCATCTGTAAGGATGGGAATGGTGCCTGCTCCACCCCTTTGTTCTTGCCATTTCTTCCCAAAAGTACAGTTCAGGTCTTGGCATTGCTCACTCTCACCTCCAGGAAGGCGTAGCCACTCACATATGTAAGCGGCCACGGATAAAGAGGCCTGTTTTGTCTACACTGTCGTGATTTTTTTTTTCAGCCTGACACACTCTCACTAGTGATCCGAAGTGTCTGCCACCTGCCTTTCTTCTCTGAATGTCAAATCCTGTCTCTTGTCCCTTGTGGAAGCCCCAGCACCTAGAAATTGCCAGAGTGTGGGGTTGCTGGATGACTACTTTCTGGATGACCGAGGTGGGTTGTGGTCACTGAGCAGGGAGAATGAGCATTCGGAAGTCAGGAGATGAAGGACCTGACTCTGGCCACTGGGGTGTGATGGGGACAGCTGGGAAAGATGTCATTCGTTGAGCTTTTGAGGTAGGAAGGCCCAAGCAGGACAGTTATCTCGGGGCTGGGAGAAGGAGATGCCTGGAGACAGGAAGTTCTCCCCAGCAAGCCCGAGGGTGCTGGGACAACGAGCCACCCAGCTTGTCTACTGGGGGTGTGATTTGTTCTGAGTTCGAGGCCAGCAGGAAGCAGAGCTCTGCTATGGAAGTGTCCATGACAAGAATCCCTGTAGAGAAGTTGCTTCTCTCCCGGGGACTGCCACCCCCAGCCAGAGCCATGAATCACAGCCTGAGGGTGGGTGTGGGGTTCCCCAGGAGCTGAGCCACCCATGAAAATCATGAAAGAAAATGCATAACATAGTTCCAGAGGAGAAAATTTCAAATCCAAAGAGCACACGATGGGGCAGGGCATGGGAGAGAGAGCCAAGGGCAGCCAGGGCGGAAGCATGGGGGAGAAGGAAGATGCCACTGTGCATAGACCCCACCCAGAAGGTTAACGGCTCAGTGTGAAAAGGCAGCTGCTGCCACACCTGGCCACCTGAGTCTGATCCCCTGGATCCACATAGCGGAAGGAGAGAACTGGCTCCCACAGGTGACACATCTGGACGAGCCAACTGAAGGAAGGCAGGCATGGTCCTGAATGGTCTACTGACCAGCCACCCACCTCACAGGCCATCTCTGTCCTTCCTTCTGGATGTTTCTAAATCCCATGGCCCCAGGCGGACCTCAGGGCCTTTGTATCAGCATCATCTTCCAGGGAGCTTCCTCTCTGGGAGCTGGCTTATTGCCTACTCTCTACAGGTACAGAGAACAACCGCATGGTAAAGGTGGACCCCACTGGCCCCTCATCCCCACTCCACTTGAGTCCCTCCTAGGCCCTCATATCCCACAGGTGTTTATTTCCTTAGCTACGGTGTTAGGTCTAGAGCTGGGCTGTGTGACTGTTACGATCTCTGCCTTTTGTAAAGCATCTGGTACACAGTAGGTGCTCAATAAACACACGTGGATCCAATGGTAAAGCCCCTGGGTCTGTGGGGAGGGAAGTGGAGGCATAAGCATCATGGGAGAAGGAACTGGTGATGGCTGGTTGGGAAACCCACCAGAACAGGGGCAGGGCTGGAGGTCTGTCTGAGGAAAAGTGTCTCTGGGAATATCAGGAAGGCTTCAGAGGTATCAGGGCGGTGTGGACCTTACCTAGGGGTAAGAAAGAAAGACTGCAGATGACTTTGCCAATGCATCTCAAGATAGGTGAGATAGGAGATCACCTATCAGGAGATAGGTGGTCACTGCTGAGGTGGCAGGGCTGGCTGTCACACGGACTGGGGAGTGGTCCCTGAGGACCAGACTCCAGCCTTGATGCCTCCTAGCAGTGAGAGCCCAGAAAGGTGACAACTTCCCACCCTGTCTGAAAAGTGAGGCAGCGCTGCCTGCCTGGAGGTACTTGTTCTGATAATTAAATAAAATAACGTGAAAATGCACTTGCAGTCCTCCTGTGGTAAGCCCTGAATAAATATTAGCTGCATGTTAAGCTCCCATTGGCAGTGTGCGCTTTGAATAAAACACAAAAGTGGGAAGGATGTGGTCCCTGCTCAGGAGTCACACAGCCGAGTGTCACTCAGCATAATGTGGGAGACAGGATGTGGGTGAGGGAGAGAGGAGGGAGGCCTGGCCCTGCGTCCCCTCAGAGGGTGTGAAACTCCACTTGGGGTTCCACCCAGAAAGGGCTTTGAGGAACTGGTAACCCCAAGCCAGACGATGGCGTAGGATGCCGAAGGGGCCCCTACCAAAAGGGTTTTTAGGCAGAGGGACTTGAGATGGAGTAACATGGGACAGACCACCAAAGCTGGCGGAGCACGTCAGTACATGAGGCAGTGGGTGTCTGCCTCCTGGACAGACCTTCCCAGAGGCGGATGCTAAGCGATCGACCACACAACCGGCAGCTGTGATCGGGGAGAGTGGGTGGGAGCTACAGATCATTTTATTTCCCCAATGTACCAGGAGGGACCAGGGCTAGGAGGAGGGGAGATTAGGCAAGGGAGGCCATGGGTGCAGCGTGGTATCTACTGTGTGCCGAGCTCAAGGAGGCCCAAGGAGGAACGAGACTAGCTGAGGTTCACGGGAGCTCTGTGCACACCAGGCAAGCACTCTGCCGAAGAAGTCACACCCTCATGGCTGGCCCTGGCATCTCTCAGGACTTCAACAGAGCAGACAACCATAGACACAGCTCTGGTTTTAAAAGGGTGGGGCGGAGGAGCAGAAAGGCGAGCCACAGCAGACAGAGCCTGGGGACCTTTCTTAGCAGCACACTTGCTGAGCACGGACTGTTCGTCAGGTACCCTTCACTGTGTGTGAACATCTTTGAACTTCACCACAAACCCTTAGGGGACGTTCCGCCATGTTGCCTCACTTTGCAGCTGTGCAGCTCAAAGCACAGAGCTGTTAAGCAGTGTCTCCGAGGTCACACAGCTAGGATGGGACAGAGTTAAGATTCCAGCTCTGAGCCAGGTGGTGGTGGCGCACACCTTTAATTCCGGCACTCTGGAGGAATTAGAGGCAGGTGGACCTCTGTGAGTTCAAGGCCAGCCTGGTCTACAGAGAGAGTTCCAGGACAGCCAGGGCTATAGAGAGAAACCTTGCCTGGGGGCTGAGGGGAGGTGGTGGAGAGATTTCTGCCCTGAGCTTCTCTTGCTGTAGGACTCCATATTTGGGAATCACCTATTGTATCCTGGGTATGTTCTTCTCTCCTGTTATAAAAACCTTTGGGGTGGGGAGGGGATTGAGGCTCAGGGGAGATAACCATACCAAGCCAAATAACCAGCAAACGTTAGAAGTACTTCGTCTATTGCTCTCTGCCTGTCTGAAAGTGTTGGCCACTACACAGTCAGAGTTCCGGAGTTCCGGAGTGTCCTCTTCTGACCTGTGACCTGAGACCACACTTTCTTACCTGGCCTGGGCTCTGGTGCATAAACAAGGCTTGCCCTACTCTACAGGGATTCTGTCAAACCTGGGGAGGGGGTAGTGGATGGAACATGGTTTCTGAGCCCCAGAGGCTTGTGGGAAGGTGCTTCTCAATGCAAGAGCTCCACTTTCTTCATGGGGCAATAAAAAGATACTAACTAGCAACTGTCTGGTTCAGCAGGGGTTAATTATAGCAAGCCCCAGAACTGTGGTATTGAGAGGGTGCTCCGGGGAGGGCAGAGGCTGCAGTGTTCCCCCACACAGCTCTTAGAGATAGGGCCGTGGATTCTGATCCCATGTCATCACTCCCAGCCTACTCTTCTCAGCAGCCAGCCCCCAACAGAGGTCAGGCACACCCCTTTTCCTCTCTGACAGACTCCTGGATTTTGGCACCTTCCACAGCCCCCTTTGGTCCTTAAGTGTGGCACCCAGACAGACAACTGGCTCAAGCCACCAACTGGCTCAAGCCTGCAGACCTGTCCCTTTCCACCCTCTGCTGCCTGTCACCTCCTCTCGACGGTCACATCTCTCTCGTGTCTCTCGTGTCCTTGTTGGCAGCTCTGTGTTTCTACACGTGCACAGTCAAGAAACACCCTTAAGAGCCACAGCCGTGGAGCCAGCCTCACAGATCCACACACATGTCCTCGGAGGTAGCAGGAGGCACTAGGGCGTCATCTCTCTTTCAAACAACCACACTAGAGGGACTCTCTCCAGGCCTGGAGCATCCCCAGGCCCAGTCTTAAGATGGCAGCACCTCATTTTTCACAGGGATGAATGCCCTGATTTCTCCTTCGAATCGTTGCCCCCCGGCAGTCATTCCCTTTATTTCTGGCTGCTCTAAACAAGGCTACAGCAAACATTCTTGTGCACGCCTCCTCCAACCAGACCTTTGAGCCCTACTAAATACAGTTCCAGTAGTGGGGTTGCTTAAGAGAAGGGCACATGTATTTTTCTTTTTATGTTAGCTAATGTTGCCACCAGAAAACCTTGTAACACTTCCCCAATCTCTCCAGCACTTCCGGGGCCACCCCTTCCCCTCCAGCCGCTCCAGCAGTGGGTGTTCGCATCATTTAGGATTTTCCTCTGAGTGATGCAGGCAACACGAAACCTCATAATCCCGATACTTCCAATTTCTGGTAAAAACTTGTTCCTCTTTAACATGTTTGCCGACCACTTAGCCATAGGCAATGCCCCACCTAGCCTCATCTTTGCCCAACTCCAACCCTCCTTGTCCATTTCAAGTTCGGAGCTGCTCTTTACATGTGTAGGCATTAGCTTTTTGTGCGACAGCTGTGTTGCCAATAGTTTTATTCTTAAATTGCTTGTTTTTGTATTGACTTTATAAATGATATCTGTTGTCATAAAAATAAGGTTTGTATAATGAAATCTTTTCAATTTTAAACTATTTAATTTATTGGGGGTAGTGACGGGGTGGTATATGCATATGTGTGCATCTGTGGGGGGCAGAGGAGGGCATGGGGGGCACCTGCTCTCTATCGTTCCATCTTTTTTTTTAATTTGTATTTTTATTTTGCAATACAATTCAGTTCTACATATCAGTCACGGATTCCCTTGTTCTCCCCCTATGGCCCCCCTCACCTTCCCCCCAGCCCACCCCCCATTCCCACCTCCTCCAGGGCAAAGCCTCCCCTGCAGACTGAGATCAACCCAGTAGACTCAGTCCAGGTAGGTCCAGTCCCCTCCTCCCAGGCCGAGCCACGCGATCCTGCATAGGCCCCAGGTTTCCAACAGCCAACTCATGCAATGAGCACAGGACCCGGTCCCACTGCTTGGGTGCCTCCCAAACAGATCAAGCCAATCAACTGTCTCACCCATTCAGAGGGCCTGATCCAGTTGGGGACCCCTCAGCCATTGGTTCATAGTTCATGTGTTTCCATTTGTTTGGCTATTTGTCCCTGTGCTTTATCCAACCTTGGTCTCAACAATTCT